TAAAATGCCTTAGAAAGATGACAAGATGTGAGACCTACACTAACAGAAGTGTTTGATTTTATTCAAAAAGGTTCTTGAGTGGGAGGCACAAGTAAAATGAAGGTCTATTGGAAGAACATAATTTGCACACTCAGCACCTACTGATAGATGTGATCATATGAAATTACTACAAGGGCCATGATCAAACCAATAATGTTTTAGATTTGTACCTTTCAGAACAAAATTTGTCCTCTGGGGATTTTGCTGTTCTGGACCTGTCACTTTATACCAACATGGGTGTCCATATTCACTGGGCTCTTTGAAAAGGCTTACAAGTTTTAGCCACAAAACTGAAGAGGAACTTCTCTATAAAACAAACACCATTAATTCTGAGTAAGACTATATATAACTGTCCGGGGAAGTTTTAGCCACAAAAACAAGAGGGACATTTCTTTAAGAGAAACACTATTAATTCTGGGTAAGATCATATATAAAAGAGACTACCCCATCACATGTGAGGTTGAATATGAAATAAAAAAAGAGAAGAGATTTGACTCAATAATTGATGAACAGAATAAAATGTATCTGCTATCATTAGAAGACATGGAGTCACTAAACTACAATGTGATGAATCATTTCCTACTTTCTTAAAAATTCTCAGCATTCATTTATGTCAACGAATTCATGCATGTATATAATCCAAATGCAAATAATTAACTGCTAAATACAACCTTCCTGAATCCCGTCTATATCGATCCTAATCTGTATCCTGTGTCTATATATATATATATATGTAACAACACAGAATGAAACCCATTTTATGTAGGAAGAAAATCTTGCTACAATCTTGTAACATACTGTATTCACCTGACCTGATCACCCTCACTACTTTGCTGAAAGTTTGAGAGAATGATGAATAGTGAGTGAGGCTCAGGCAGCAGTTTTATCCAGTACAAACATCTGAGATAGGCATGTGTGTCAGGCATGCATGCTTTCACAATTTAGATTCACACTCATGTTGATTGTGGTGTATGTCTATTTGAAAGTGCTTCTTTTCATAAACGCTTTTGTTGGACGTGCTTTTGATAGAAGTTTTGTTGGAAGTGCTTTTAATAGAAGTATGTCCAAATTTTAATACAACATCAAATTACTTCCTGAAAAAGCTTATGGATTATAAAAGCACTTGGAAGTACTTTAAAATTTCTTTGCTAAACAATGGCAGAAGCGCTTTTAGATATCTGAAAGCGCTTTTGAGGTCTTTTTAAAAGCAGCACAAACAGGATAAGTTAAAAGATTCAACTTCTTTCCCCCATTATAATAACCATGCATGATTCATAAGGAGTTTAGAGGTCACAAGGCCTATAAAACCATAGACAAAAAGCCCTTTTTTATCTGCCATAGGTCAATAACCAACCCTTAATAAAGTTGAGGGTGACAATGGTTAAGTACTTTAAACAACGATGTAAGCACACACCATAAAAACAAATCACAGTAGAAAGTTGAGTCAGTCTCTTCTACTCTGCCAAAGATAGTGTAATTGAGAGAGTAGAGAATGTGAAATATTAGAGGTTTTGCAGAGAATGCAAATGAGCTTCTTGTATTACTAACTTGAGGAGATATATACAAATGTGGCTAGCTAACTATTAGTTACAAACAAGGTCACAAAGCATGGATTATTTCCAGGATTTGTGTTTCCCTAAAACATGGAAATGTAAACATGGAAAAGTGTTTCTATAACCATGGAAATGTGGAAGTGTGATAGACAAGCTTTTCCTTGTTTTAGGGAAGCTGTCTATGTCTTGTTTATGTCTTGACTAACACACTCCTATACATTTTCGAAACAAATGCTGGAGTGAAAGTAAGAAACTAATCAAAATCCGGTTTTTCTTTTTAAAGTAAAAAGGGTTTAGTAAACAGCCAAACAAACCAATGATTACAGAACAAGAAAAAATTGACATGCATCAGACTTCGAACCACTTCTCCAAGGAGATCACAGAGGTTTGCAGCCAAACTTCGAACCACTTCTCATATTGGTGCCATGCCTGCTATGAACAAGGTTGTTATTTTTGAAATTGAATTCAGTATTTCATATCTCCTTAGTAGTTCAACTTCAATGATGTGTCAATTTTGCCTTTTTAAATATTATTATTGGGTTTTTCTCTTTAATCTGAATGAATTTTGTCACTGATTTTGTTACAAATGCTTATCTACATGATTGGTTTACTATATATATAACTCGTATGCATACAGACTACATTGTATGTATTGCATAATTGGGTTCATTAATCACTCCAGACACCCTGAAAATTTTCAAGGATGACTCATTTCAAGACTTTTAAAGACGTCATTAAGAATCAGCCATGCAATTACTTACCGTTTCCATGTTTAGTGTATTGCAATTGTTTTGCTGTTGTTTCTTTTAAAATTATTTATGGTTGTTTGAATTGCACATTTTTACAAGTTCGGAATTTCTCCTCTCTTTTTCTCCACAATATGTTTTCTGTAGTTATTTTCAATAAATTTTCATGTTGGCCTAATGCAATTGTTTTGATGTTTACAGCAATGAGAAGGGTAACATTTGACGATTTGGCAGGAGCTGACGAAGCAAAGCAATATTTCCAAGAGAAGAGACTGTTGAATTTTTAAAAACCCAAGAGAAGTTTTTTGCAGGTGAAGACCATTCCCTTGAACTAGAAAGATATTGCTGGCTAAGGCCATAGCAGGAGAAGCAGGGGTCCCTTTCTTTTCTCTGTCAAGGTCACAGTTCATAGAGATGTTTGTACATCAGCTGCCACATCATGTAGTATGAAAAATATGGTAAGTCTAGTATTAATAAGTTTTAGTTTTAAATTTGCTTTCAATATTTATGCTACAATTCTTTTTATATTTTTTTTCATTGAAGACTTTGTTTTAGGAGGCCCCATTACTCGTTTTGTACAGGGCCCTTAAAATATCAGAGCCGCCCCTACCCGTGAACCAGCTTCTTTCTTCATGAATTGAACCTCTGTGTGGAATTACTTTACTGAGCTGCATGGCTCTTGCTAATCTAAACAGCCACTGCTGCAATTGGTTTGTTTTTCTTCAGAAAAAAAATGGAAATGCCAATAGAAGGTTTTTAAAACTGCGCCAACAGAAGGCTCTTGCTAATTAACAACCATATGCTATCATTTATTACATATGCAGTTCTCTCATTTCTGCGTTGAAATGAAAAAACCAGAACATCATTTCTCTGCTCATATGCCAAGTTATTAGTAATTTGGCCGAACGACAACACCTTTGATAACAAGTCCGCTCTTCCATCTCCCATCATATTCGTACAATGAAAACTCGACGTCCCCAGGTTTTTCGGGTGATGCAATAAAGTCGCCAACCGGAATCTCTATCCATTGCTCTCTTGCTTTATCTGTCAAATTTACTCCTATACATTTTCGAAACAAATGCTGGAGTGAAAGTAAGAAACTAATCTAAATCCGGTTTTTCTTTTTAAAGTAAAAAGGGTTTAGTAAACAGCCAAACAAACCAATGATTACAGAACAAGAAAAAATTGACATGCATCAGACTTCGAACCACTTCTCCAAGGAGATCACAGAGGTTTGCAGCCAAACTTCGAACCACTTCTCATATTGGTGCCATGCCTGCTATGAACAAGGTTGTTATTTTTGAAATTGAATTCAGTATTTCATATCTCCTTAGTAGTTCAACTTCAATGATGTGTCAATTTTGCCTTTTTAAATATTATTATTGGGTTTTTCTCTTTAATCTGAATGAATTTTGTCACTGATTTTGTTACAAATGCTTATCTACATGATTGGTTTACTATATATATAACTCGTATGCATACAGACTACATTGTATGTATTGCATAATTGGGTTCATTAATCACTCCAGACACCCTGAAAATTTTCAAGGATGACTCATTTCAAGACTTTTAAAGACATCATTAAGAATCAGCCATGCAATTACTTACCGTTTCCATGTTTAGTGTATTGCAATTGTTTTGCTGTTGTTTCTTTTAAAATTATTTATGGTTGTTTGAATTGCACATTTTTACAAGTTCGGAATTTCTCCTCTCTTTTTCTCCACAATATGTTTTCTGTAGTTATTTTCAATAAATTTTCATGTTGTTTACTATATATATATTACTCATATGCATACATACTACAGTGTATGTATTACATAATTGGGTTCATTAATCACTCCAGACACCCTGAAAATTTTCAAGGATGACTCATTTCAAGACTTTTAAAGACGTCATTAAGAATCAGCCATGCAATTACTTACCGTTTCCATGTTTAGTGTATTGCAATTGTTTTGCTGTTGTTTCTTTTAAAATTATTTATGGTTGTTTGAATTGCACATTTTTACAAGTTCGGAATTTCTCCTCTCTTTTTCTCCACAATATGTTTTCTGTAGTTATTTTCAATAAATTTTCATGTTGGCCTAATGCAATTGTTTTGATGTTTACAGCAATGAGAAGGGTAACATTTGACGATTTGGCAGGAGCTGACGAAGCAAAGCAATATTTCCAAGAGAAGAGACTGTTGAATTTTTAAAAACCCAAGAGAAGTTTTTTGCAGGTGAAGACCATTCCCTTGAACTAGAAAGATATTGCGGGCTAAGGCCATAGCAGGAGAAGCAGGGGTCCCTTTCTTTTCTCTGTCAAGGTCACAATTCATAGAGATGTTTGTACATCAGCTGCCACATCATGTGGTATGAAAAATATGGTAAGTCTAGTATTAACTGATGTTAATAAGTTTTAGTTTTAAATTTGCTTTCAATATTTATGCTACAATTCTTTTTATATTTTTTTTCATTGAAGACTTTGTTTTAGGAGGCCCCATTACTCGTTTTGTACAGGGCCCTTAAAATATCAGAGCCGCCCCTACCCGTGAACCAGCTTCTTTCTTCATGAATTGAACCTCTGTGTGGAATTACTTTACTGAGCTGCATGGCTCTTGCTAATCTAAACAGCCACTGCTGCAATTGATTTGTTTTTCTTCAGAAAAAAAATGGAAATGCCAATAGAAGGTTTTTAAAACTGCGCCAACAGAAGGCTCTTGCTAATTAACAACCATATGCTATCATTTATTACATATGCAGTTCTCTCATTTCTGCGTTGAAATGAAAAAACCAGAACATCATTTCTCTGCTCATATGCCAAGTTATTAGTAATTTGGCCGAACGACAACACCTTTGATAACAAGTCCGCTCTTCCATCTCCCATCATATTCGTACAATGAAAACTCGACGTCCCCAGGTTTTTCGGGTGATGCAATAAAGTCGCCAACCGGAATCTCTATCCATTGCTCTCTTGCCTTATCCGTCAAATTAACTTTACTCCATCGATTCTCTGAAGCATGTGGGACAGTGAGTTTGAGATTCACTGGAACATCCCATCCATAAGCTTTAGCTTGCAGCTTGACCACAAATACAACTTCATACCGAATTCCTGGTGACAGCTTTGTGGTCTTAAGTTTTCCACGCACTTCTAGCCAACATACCTCTAACAGTTCAGCAGCTTCAGTAGGGCCATCACTGCAATGAAGCCTAAGTTAGGACTAAGATTACTGATAGCATTAGTATGATATACAGTTCCTCTCCTATGAGGATGTCTGAACATTACTAAAATGTAAACACGATTGTAAACAAAGAGAAAAGCAGGAAGAGATAGTAGAAAATATATAGTGTCGGCACGGTGATAATGTCTGGACGTCCGAGAAAAATTTGGATATATATTTTAAATTTGTTGCATATGTTATCTGTTCCAAATGTTCATTAGGACTGGAGAAACCGAGAAACTGAGCATAAGTTATGTATTGATGTTTTTGGTACCTGGTTTCTTGCACCCAGCGCCAGTAACGAGGGTCTCCAGACCAAGTGATATCAAGAGCCTTTGCATACACCAGAAAGCACCTGTTGGACGTCTGGTCAAGATACATCTGCAATAACAGTGATAATGCTAACAATATCCAACAAGATAATGACATAATCAAGATGGTTGATTTCTAAGTTATTTTACAAGTTTCCATTCTTTAAATCAAATTGAAGTCCCATAAATTTTGATTTGGAGCTGAATTTTGGCACACATTTCAGAAGCATAAATATGTATCTATGTATATACGTAACTAACACACAAACGTACGCAAAACTAAACCATCCGAGCATGGTGCTTAACTGATTCTGTTGGCTGTGCCTGTGACTGTGAGGCCTCACCACCTGATGACCACCCAGTCTCCATCTCTTCAATACACGTCTTCCATCCAATGCTTGTTGTTACTTATATAGGTAAATGTTGGAATTGGCTCAAATTTGATGGCATGTGATGTGTTTTGTTATGGGAACCTACCTTGACTTTGTTGGCTTCACAAGTGCTTTCGGTGGTTGTCTTTTATTGATAAAATTGCATTGGATATTGGGTTCCCTTGGCTCTATGGGCAGCCGAAAGCAAGATGGAAAAGAGGAAGAAATCATGGTGCCGAAACCATGTGCTGCAAGTCATGGTTTGGCTTCTTTTCTCTTCACGGGGGAGCTGTTGGTGAATCTTCTTGCAGCTAGCTGCTGCACTTGTCTACATCAGGAGGTAGGGGTGTCCGCACCGAAACAAAGAAACCGTTTACCGGCGGACTACCTGCGGTTTAGTCAAAATCCAAACCAACGGCGCACCGCACAAAGACGGTTACCGGAGGTGCCGGTCACCGTGGGTAGCTGCGGTATCGGTCGGTTACCAAACCTAGAATAACAAACCTGCAAAAAAAAAGTAGAGAAAGAGAGAGAAATAACCTCGATTCATCACAAACACAGAGAAGGAGGGAGAGAGAAATTTAAAAAATAAAACCAAACTTAGTTATTAACCTAAGAACCAGAGAGGAAATAGAGAAAAGGGAGGGGAGAGAGAGAGAGATGAGTTAAAGAGAGAGGGGAAGAAGAAGATAGGGAAGAAGGCTCGTGGTTTTTTTTTTCCTTGAGCAGTGAAAGATGAAAGGAAACCTTGGGCATTTATTAACACCCATTGAAAATATTAAAAAATCTCATGACAATCAAAAGTTGTTAATATTTAGAATTTAAAATTAATTACATCAACCCCATTTGCCCATTTCCCCATTAGAATATTAAAATATTGTATAGAATATCATTTCCCCATTAGAATATTAAAATATTGTATAGAATATCAAGAGAGGGAGAAGAAAATGTAACGGCAGAGAAAAACATTTCTCTCTCCTTTTTCTTTTTTCCTTCTTCCCTTTTCTTTCCTTCTATCTTTTCTCTCTGTTTCTCATTTTCTTTTTGTTCTGCGTTTCTCTCTTTTCTTTCTTTTTTTCTTTTTCTTCCTCTTTCGTTGCTTCTCTCCTCTCTCTTAATTTATCTTCTTCTCCTTTTTTTGCCTGGCTTGGTGGGGTTTTTGGCCCCCTGTTTCTCATATTCAAGGGGAAGACGAGGAGAGAAGGAAATTCAGAGATGACTAGGGTTCGAATTTGAAGGGAATGAAATGAAATGAGGGAGAGTCGATCTCAACGTCTAGTTTCTTCGGCGATTGTATTAAAATATATATATATATATCGGTCGGTTGCAGTTGCCGACGGCTTTGGTATCTTGCAACTGCATCCGCACCTGCCGCATTTCGGCTCGGTCATCCAACCGCAACCGGTCATTGACTGGAAAAGTCAACGGTTTGCTGACCGAAAATATCGGTTGGAAACCGCCGAATTCGGGTATTTGCGGTCCAACCGCACATCACTATCAGAAGGTGTGTGGGCGGTGGGCAGTGTGCATCACTTAGGCCATCCCCAATGGTACAGACTCTAAAAGAAGTTGATAGACCCAATTTAGAGCTTCGACGGAATTTTTGGGGCTCTAAAGACATCTCTCTCTCCTACAATGGGAGGCTCTATATTCGGGTATTCATTTACAATGTAAGTTGATTTATGTGTTATTTTTTATTTGGGGTTCTTAGATCTAAGTCCAAAACGATAAACTATTATTAGGTTTAGTCCACACGTTTTTTGTTTTAGATGTAGGTCCTTTGACTTTTACTACTCTTTTTATTACCCTTTGAGATAAATAAGGAAAACATTAAAAATTTAAATTTAATGAATTATTTACTTGTAATTGAATTTTAGAATTTAAATTTTGAATTCTTTCATTGATAATATTTAGCTAATACATGGGTAAAATACAAATTAATCAATGAAAGTAAAAGGCCCACATATTATACTAATCGATTAAGCAAGCGCCCACATTAAATTATGTACCTAACATACAGGTAAATATTGTTCTTATTAGCAACGAAAAAAACTTAGTGATAAATCGTGTTACCTATAAGTCATGAACATAAATTAGAATACTACCTATAAGTTATTAACATAAATTAGAAGACTACATATAAGTCAGATCCAAAAATAGACAAATAAAATTGCATGTTACCTATAAAAAAAAATGTATATAAAATACTATTATTCATTGTCTTAAATATGAAAAAACACATATATTCCTATGCAATAGGCAATATGACAATATACCTACACCATAGGATAATATATCTACAAGAGTATATACTATACCTCTACCATAGGGTGAACAAAAATAAAAATAAGAGTGCTACTATTTCCACCCACCTATCATATTTCTCCACCCACCTTATCTTTCCACCCACCATGTAAATTTAAAAAAAACACAATCCTATCTCCCCACCCACCATTATTCCTAAAATACCCTTTAATTATTAATTCAAAGCAAATTCTCTCAAAAACCCAACTTATATCTGTTTTACTTCCTGACCCGTATTAAGGGAAACCCCCCTTCCTTTTCTCCAAGCCGATTGTGGTTCTTTCAAGAGTTCATCCCTCTTTCTCATCCTGGAGGAGGTGACACATGGACTTTGTGATGAGAGGGGTTGTGTGCGGTAGAAAAGGGGATTTGGGTATTTATTTTCTTTTAGGTCTTCTTTAATTTCTTATTGATTTATTTTAATACATATGTGGTTGAAGAACATGAAGTTGAAGCATGGGTTCGAATGCTTATGGTCCCCAGGCTCCTATCATGTTGATCTCCCTCAATCAAATAACACCAATCGCTTGTTGCTTGAAAAAAATAGACGAAAATTAAACAACTTCATGACATAGAATTTCATGAAATCTTTAAAGGATAATAGGAGCCTTTGAAGGGATAATTAATTTTGCCCACATTTGTTTCGCAGAGAAAATGATAGTACCTTTGAGAGAAATCATATTTATGATTGAAAAATAGTAAGGGTCAGTTTGGCATTGCTGTGCTGTGAAAATAATCGCTGTCAAATTTGCTGTGAGAGAATGCAGTTTGATTTGGTATTGCTGTGCTGTGAAAATAATCGCTGTTAAATTTGCTGTGAGAGAAATCAGCTGTGAGAGAATGCAGTTTGGCGTTTGGTAAATTTTTCGTTAAAAGTGTTGTTGGTACGAATTCCCGTATAATACAAATTATTCTGAATGAATTTTGTCACTGATTTTGTTACAAATGCTTATCTACATGATTGGTTTACTATATATATAACTCATATGCATACAGACTACAGTGTATGTATTACATAATTGGGTTCATTAATCACTCCAGACACCCTGAAAATTTTCAAGGATGACTCATTTCAAGACTTTTAAAGACGTCATTAAGAATCAGCCATGCAATTACTTACCGTTTCCATGTTTAGTGTATTGCAATTGTTTTGCTATTGTTTCCTTTAAAATTATTTATGGTTGTTTGAATTGCACATTTTTACAAGTTTGGAATTTCTCATCTCTTTTTCTCCACAATATGTTTTCTGTTAGCATGGTATCAGAGCAGGTTAGCCCACGTGTGAAAGCAGCCAATATGAGTTGTCCATGTGTTAGGCTTGAAAATTCGTTGCTAACGAATGAGGAAGAATTGAGAAGAAGAAGAAGAATTGAGAAATTAGAAAGAGAAAATGAGAATATTATCTGAGAATTCTGTTCTGAATAATGAATATTACAGTACCCAGAACCTTTTATACTTTGGGCTTTGCTTAGTAATTATGCTAGCTCTTCCTAACTAACAAAAAGATACACGTGACCATTACAACAGCTAATACAAACTAACTCCCATGATTAACGCAACAGTCTTGACACCTCAGCACTCTTGCTATTAGCCAAACATCCCCCCTCAAGCTCAGTTTGGATTTCCCAGTCTGAGATTGGTACAGTGCTTGGAGAACACAAGTGCATGAAGTCTTTTTGTAAATACATCTGCAAGGGTAGCAAATCCTTTGCGTACTTTGACTGATGTACAAAAATAGCCCCATTACTATGATACGAAATCTGTAGCCCCAAGAAATAGGATAGTTGCCCCATATCTTTCAACTCAAAAACAGAACCAAGATCAGCAATGATTTCTTGAATGAGACTCGTATTAGAACCTGTTAAAATGATATCATCTACATAAAGAAGTAAGATGACTACATCTGAACCATGATGCTTGACAAATAAACTGGGATCAGATTGAGAGACTTTGAAACCTAGAGAAGGTAAGTATCCAGTGAACTTTGAGTTTCATGCCCTCGGAGCTTGTTTCAAGCCGTATAACGATTTCTTTAGTCGACAGACAAATTTGGATGTTGAGAATCTTCAAACCCCTGTGGTCGCTTCATGTAGGCCTCTTCATCAAGATCACCATGTAAAAAAGCATTCTTAATATCTAATCGGTTGAGTTTCCAACCATGCATTGCAGCCATACTAAGAATAATTCTGACAGTGGTGTGCCAAACTACTGGACTAAAGGTCCCAGAGTAATCCAAACCATGTGCCTGGCTAAAACCTTAAGCCACTAGCCTTGCTTTATATCTGGAAATGGTGCCATCAGAATTTCGTTTGATCTTGTAGATCCATTTACTACCAACCACATTTTTATGCAAAGGAGGTGGAACTAAAACCCATGTGCCTTGCATATGTAAAGCTGCAATCTCCTCTTGCATAGCTTTTGTCCATTCTGAGGAGTAAGAAGCAATCTTAGAACTGGCAGGTTCATCTAGTTCTGAAGAAGGCAGAAAAGTCGAACTAAAACAATGATAATCTGAGAAATCCTTGTGTTTGCTAATTCCAGACTTTGCTTGAGTTTGCATAGGATGTTCATTAGCATGATTTGAAGCAGTAGAGCTGGAGGAACTATCTGAGTCGGGAACAACCTCAGAAGAACTAGATGATGGTATATGAGGGAGTAAAGCTTCCAACTGAGCTTCGCATAAAATTGGCAGAGTAGGAATAGCAGGTATAGAAGTCTCAGAGGCATGAGAAGAAGAAAACTCCACTGTAGATGTTGAGACGGAAGGTACAATATGTGGTGGAGGATCTATATGAGAGTTGGGGAAAACTACACTTGAAGGAACACTGATAGGCATACAGGAAACTGAAGAAGTATCCTGAGGAGAAGACACCTTATGACCTTTAAAAGGATATGTACTTTCATCATGAATAACATTCCTAGAAATAAGAACCTTGTGATTTTCCATATTATAATAAAGGACACCCTTATAGCCCAACACATAGCCTAAACACACACATAAGGAAGAGCGAGGTTGAAGCTTATGCTTAGTGAAGGGCCTCAGACAAGGATACACAGCTGAACCAAATATGCGTAGATGCTTAATCTCTGGAAGTTTATGAAACAATCTAAAATACGGCGATTCATCTGCCAATATTCTACTAGGCATTCTGTTAATAAGATAGGCAGAATGTGCCATAACATGAAACCAAAAAAATCTCAGGCAACGAAGCTGCAGTTAACAGGGTTACAGATGTCTCAATCAAATGTCTA